GTTTACCGCGCCTCGTTTCACAATCAGCTGGTGACCTGGATACGCGAAAAGAGGCCTCGTTTCCAGTCTCTATTTTTAGTGTCTCTGGTTAGACAGAGCGAGCGAGCTATTTTTAGCCGTGGATTTCTGTGCCTCTAGTGCAACCACTGAAGTGCAACCGGCCTTCAACTTCAAAGCATTCCGACCGCGTGGGGGCTTAGACAAAGGGTGAAGATAATCAAAAATTAAAAAAAGAAGCTAGTTTAGACAAAGGACATTTTTCGGGGGAAATGCTGTTAGCAGTCAACAGGGTTCAACGCACTGTGGTTTTTCCACACGATAGCCTACACTGAAAAGGCCTTCTAAGAAAATTGTTTTCTCTAGCGTTCTGAACGCCGCAGTAATATCATGTCGCTGTGGCTTTGATGTGTCTTCGTGATGTTGCGCTAACTTAATCGCTCATCTATTCTAAATAACTATTGTGGGTTTTTCCTAAATTTCCGGCGATACGTGTTCAAAGGTGAGTTACTTTATCAGAAAAAAGGCTGTTGAAACAACATCTGTACATGTACTATCCTGCCACGTAATTCTTAGGACACTCCTCATACATCTGTTGATGAAAGTCTGGACTTTATTCAGTTGCGTCTTTGTTGTTTTCCAAGTGCTAGGCCCTATTGGTGCATAACATGTATACGTCTTCATTATGATTTTATTATTATATTTCATTCCTTTCGGCTTCCAGGCCACGGGTCGGGTCGGGTCGGGCCCATCGGGTAGTCAGTAGCAATGGGCCGATACCCCAACTTAGGTATCGATGTCAATACCTAGCAAAGATAGTACATAACAAGATGGGCCACTTCTCTCTTTGAGCCAATTAAAAAAGTGTCCTCAAAATTTGGTGGCGCCCTCTTCACAAAAGCGCACTCTTTGCGAACAGAGTTACCCTACTTGAGTCTTAAAAAATCAAAGTGAAACTAGCATGTTTTGGGATAAATTTCGGAAGAACGCTTTTTTAAAATGGTTGCGCTGACAAAAAACCTCTTCCTCTTCTATAGGCCCTGTAGGTCTACGCTTTGATTCAGTCAATAAGAAATAAACCACTTCGTAGATATAGTGCTGATGAAGAAATAAGGGGGGGGGGAGGTCTGTTCTTTTTTAAAGCATATATCTCTTTCTCTATCTATTTATTAATACATTTGTTTGTAGATCTAGTTGTAGAAAGAACGCTGTATTATTGCTATTTAGTAACCTAGATAGTACGCCATGGCGCCCATGTTAAAAAAAAAAGTTAACAAGGACCAAGCCTCGCCTATCGCGTATGAGGGAGAGATAACATGCCTTGTCCATTGCTTTAGCTTGAATTCCTTCACACAACTCGCCCACTGAAACTGAAACTGAAACATGGCGGACGCCGCTGTCAAATGTGGCCTTGGCGCAGCAAGGCGAGAGAGGGGCGTACTCTATACGTTCTTACTACGTTCTCTCTGACCGTCTAGGGCGTACTGTATCTAGTGCCAATAGTGTACATCTATGATGTAAACCGATTTCCCAAGAACGCGTTATCTCCGTAGGGCTGGGCAGGTATCGGTATCCAGTACCGGAACTCCCTGTAGGCCTAGGCGATTGCTGTAGTCTTAGGCTAAGGAAAACAGCTTGACAAGTCGTTTAAAATTTCCTGCTTCTGTGCAATGGGAGACGACCCAGGCCAGTGAGAGAATGCAACCCC